GGCCCAGCCAATAAATGTATATAAACTCTGGCCAAGTCAATGAATGTACATAAACTCTGGCCAGACTGACAAATATATTTCAAATGTTGGCCAGGTCAATAGGTGCATGTGAGCTACTGGTCAGATACATGTATATGCTGGCTAAACATTTTAAATGCCAATTAGTTTGATATATACACTTTCAAGCTAATACATGTATGTAAATGCTAACTAAGCTTAGCAAGTGTATACAAATATTGGCCTGGCTAAAATACATATTTAAATGCCTATCAGAACCAGCTCATTTACATAGGCATTAGCCTAGCTAACAGATATATATATAAATGCTGGCCAGGCTTACAAATTAAACATCTGGCCAGCATTTGGATAACTCATGCTAGTTGTAACATTGTCATATTGACTTGCTCCATATGCAGTGAAGCATTTGTAACTGAACTGTGTGCTATCTTGGTGTTCCCTAACGCTCTCTGCTAGTACGCACATCCTACAAGGGCCAGAAAATGGTGCAGATACAACGACAATCAGGACAAGGCTGCTGTATCAGCCTGGGTGCATCCAACAAGTCTGCTCACCAGCTCGAACTTGCCGCCAATATTACCATTCCGCATGTTGCCCGACGCTCCGCGGCCAAAGGACCATGAGATGATGCGGCTCCGAGCAATATCGCTCGCATTATTGCAGTGAAATTTTATTCATTGCTCTACTGCATGCCCTTAGCCTATCTGAACGCCCGCAAACTCTCCCTCCTGGCATGCATACCCTCCAATGCCTAGAAAGCGACAATGACACGATAACAACCAGGATATCTTTATCTTTCATCAAGACGACACTCCAACACACACCGCCATTGCAACTATCTATGAGATCTCTGGCGACAGCTGCCGTGTCAACCACACAGCACAAGACTGCCCAGCTCTAGCATTGCCATCGAGATTCCCCCATCTAGACTTCACCGATGCTGATCTACCATGGAATCTCGAACACCACGATGAGCCTGACATTCCAGACGAATCTCTTACCCCGCTCTCTCAAGCGACTAAACAGCCCAAGTCGCCCCACAAGAATAAGGGACTTGGTGAGAAAACATTTGCTACTTTGGTAAGGCCAATATTTTGTGTCTGGCCTACTCTCAAATGTTTTCAGGTGCACGATCAGGTCTTGCTCGGCTGGGCTCCACTAAGAGACTTGTTCCTGGATGAAGTTCTGCGCCTCGAGAGATGGGCTGGTGCAAAATGGGAATACTGTCCTTCTTATCCAAATGACAAGCGTGGGCATCCTGAGTACTGATGCCAGGACTGCATGGGACGCGCGATAGTTTGCAAGAGCTGCTGCTCAACCATGCATGCAAATCAACCTTTCCATCAAATCAAGGTATGTGATGTACTTCATAATGCAAGTCTGGCTGACATATTCCAGTGTTGGAATGGACGCTTTTTTGAAAGCATCAGCCTCAAGGACATCGGTTTAGTTGTTCAGCTCAGTCACCAGCCTGGTGAACACTGTTCTGCACCATCCACTGCACCTCGAAGTTTCGTTGTCCTTCACACGAATGGCTTCCACCCGGTCAATCTACAATTCTGCCAGTGTAATTGCCTCAAGACAGCTGGCACCTGAGTGCAGCAACTTCTCCGCTATGAGCTGTATCCCGCCACTTTGGACGACCCAACAACTTGCTGTACATTTCGCACCTTGGAAACCTTCCATCTTCTCACTCTGCAAAGCAAGCTCATGGCGTATGATTACTACATCACTCTCACAAAGCTTACGGATTGTGTAAGCATCGGGCAACGCTACGTAAATCTGTCTGTCTGCTTGTAACTTTGTCTCGAAGCTCACTCCTGACAGGATCGCCTCAAATCTTTTCTCCACATGGTGCAAGAATAACGACATCTTCAGTTGCTCAAACGTGCAGGGCGAGGCTATGATTCCAAAGGAGTGAATGCAACAAGGCCTGGCGAGCTCTGTACTCGCTGTCCGGCATGTCCGCAACCGGGAGTCAACTTACCCGAGAATTGAAATGATGTATCTGATGACCTACGGTAAGTATTCTGTTGCGCATGATCCCTTGCTTCGCTCACATGCCCTAGTTTCATCTATACCACGTTTGTTGCAATTGACACTAACTTCTGGTTGAAATGACATGCGATTGGAAGTAACTTGCAAGACCCGTCATTGTCGTTGGGGTGGGGTTTCTTTGTCGATGGAAAGGAGTATCGGAGCCACATACTGAAGTATGCAAATCAACAAGATTTGAGTATACCCGCACGATCCACTGTTGTCCTGAGCTTACATCATCTAATATAGATAAGCACTTGCACCGGGTTTGCCGCAATGATGAACGCCAACAAGTCTTTTAAAGGATATGCAACCACAGGGTGCGTCATGGCCATTGACGCGTGACATGGTTTTGTCCTTCCAAATGGCGTAGGTGACTTGCAGAAGGGTGAGAGGTGAGCCTCAGCTGCTAGGCATCTGACAGCAGCTGCTGATTTTGCCGTAGGAACTGTAATGTTGACTTCGTCACCATGTCAGCGCTGGTTCACCTGGCTCGCGGAATGCGTTTGGTACTGTCATACAATATCATGTGCCAGTGGTTGCGCCATCTTTTGGAGTGGATTGCTGTCCTACCGGACCATCTGCGGATCGAGCTACCCAAAGAGGAAGTGCGTTATGCAATTCCAAAGTACCATTTCAATGGCCACAAGGAAGAACGCCACAACCAGTTCTCCTTCAACCTCAAGCAGGGAATAGGTCGCACCGACGGCAAGGAAGTCGAACGTGGGTGGTCGCGCTTCGATACTGTGGCCGGCAGCACCCAGGAGATGGGACCAGGTTCTCAAGAGGAGACCCTCGAGGACCATATGGAGTATAACGATATGGAGAAATACTTTACGATGGGTACGCCGTCTGTGTTGTCAGTGGGCACGGTCACTAACTACGCGATAGGAACATCTCTTGATAAGCGAGAGTGTACAGCCGTCGCTAGCTACGTTAAGTTTGACTGCCTGCACCAGACGTTTACCACCGACTTGCAGCCATCGCATGTTGCCAAATGGACAGCGACGATTGTCGTGTATGAGGCTGACAAGTCATTGCCCGACCCCTATTACTTGAAGCCAACAGGTATGTCACACCAGTGAATCGTCCTAGAGTAGACCAACGTTTATGCACAGGTATGAGTGAATCAGAGATCCAGATGGAGCTTTTGCAGCAAGAGGAGGAAGAGGCGAATCAAGGATGCATTCTCCTACACGAGATTACACCTGCGTCAATGCTCTCAACTCTTCTGGATCTAGAAGAACAACAGTAAGTCTGCCCATGTATCTAACAATACTTCAGCGATGCTTATCATATTTCCAGACAGAAGTTCAGGACCAAACATGCTCCTACCGCAAACTGCACTCCATCCCAGATGGCTGAAGTCATTGCAAAACGGGCATCCCTTCACCATCGCATCAACATGATACGCATTGTGCAAGCAATCTACATGCCCTGCGTCCCCTTAAAGCTCGCGCTGCATCGCCAGTCCCTGGCCACGAGCGCGAATGCCAACTCATCATGCAGCACTTCATTGGCAAGCAGTCGTACACGCCCCCCTGCCAGTGTTGACATAATAGATCTACCGGAGAGCCAGCCCCTGTTTCTTCTCAGCACCCTCAACCATTCTGAGCTGAATACCTGTGTTGCTGGCCTAGCAGACATGGAATCAAAACTCAGAGATGGACAGCTAGCCGACAGCCTCGACAAGCTACGCATACATCTCCATATCCACTCTCGCCTGGTCGGCTATCGAGATTGGCACGTACGACACCAATGGCCCAGCACTCGAGCACGCACAAAGATCGATCAAAACAAGGTGAAGATCAAGGCGCTGAAGTCCAAATACCAGGCTGCGCATGCAGCAAAGCTGTTGCTAGTCAGCGGAGATGCTTGGGAGCAACGATGAAAGGTTCTGCAAGACACGGATGTTACTTCTATACGTGGTGACAATGAGGTCACCAGAGTGGGGATGTCGGAGGGCAAGTTTGTGCTGTCGTGGATCTGGATGGGTGCAGACAGTGAAGGGGGCGCAAATGGTATTTGAGGTCTCAACAACGGTGCATGGCTCAAAGTCCTCTTGTGGTCTCCACTGACTCTTTACTTGGTCGGCAGCGCTGCGCGTAGAATTTTTGAAGTCCAGGGCGCGGAAGGAGCGCTATCGGAAAGAAAGTCTCTTTGTCCAAGCTGAGAAGTCACAGACCATTACCACGTTGGAGAATAACGCTATCCAATGGGACAAACAGGAAAGTTGAGCCACCACGCTCAAGACCTGCCTGCTGATTGCGGAGGGTGCTGCCTTGTATGCTGCAAAGCATGCCGCCATAGAGTGCAGGCTGTCTGCTAAGTTCGGCACATTATGGTGGAAAGCTCAGCACAGAATGATCGTTATTAGGGAGGAAGACGACGGCGCGGAGAAAAGCGGCATCGATGACAATGAGCTACACTTCACCATCACTGCAGACGATTCGGATGCTGAGCTAGACCTCAATAATTCGGATGACGAAGAATAGATTAGATACTTTAATTACATCACTATCACCACACACAATGTAAAATTCATTTCGGACTACATGGAGGAGTGCACGAACGCGAGACTGATGAGATCCAGCGCACTTCATGAAGACTCTGGACTTGGTAAATTTCGTTTGAGATGGGTCACGTGATCTGGCATTAAAAGCTTGGCTAAATAACTACAATAATATGGCGAGAGGAAGCTGCAACTGTACACAATTTATTGATATCTACTTGATACAGAATAAATGGAATGCAGCATCCACAAGCAGAGTGTAGGAAATATAATCTAATTTACTGTGAAATCTATGTGATTTATTCTATGGGCACTGTGAAAAGCTTAGAGAAGAATACTACCCAGTGTGCAAGGTCACACATACAAGTTATGTTTGAAAGGCGATACATAAGGTCAGCTCAAGGCGCGGAATGCAGAGTGAAGCAAGTGACCTAGCGGTCAATGGTGGTTGACCGAGAGAAACAGGCACTGTGCACAAGCTGCCATCTGTTCGTGGTTATTTTGCATTATGGAGTGTTTGATAGACTATTAGTTAACCTTACGGCTGTTCTATGTGTCCATGTGCGCTATTAGGCTGTGCGGAGCCAACAGAAAAGCAGGCATTTATGCAGTGCATGACATTTTGATGGTGTTACCGTATTTGGATGGCAGCCTGGTGGCGTTTCAGCTTGGGCGGACTCTTTATGGCCGTCCTTGCAAGTGTGTAGGGCATTGAACAACAAGCTATGGTGTACATATACGTAAGAAGAAGCTAAAACAAGTATTTCCAAGTTTGTAAAAGGCTACATGCAGTGTAGCAAGTACTGATGCAGGCCAAACGCTGCAAAGCCATGGTCAGCATTGATGGTGCTGCCTTTTACAGCCTTCCTAAGATCCCCGGCATACGCCAGGAGAGCTGATTTTGTGGTATAAGCCATTTTCCATATATTTCATGGCTGAGTTTCAATCCCAAACGCTAATAGCTGGTGCATGAGCGCCTCCTCTTTCAGCTTGCATAGATGATGCATTAACCATGCTGAAAAGGCCCTTTGCCCTGTGTTGATGCATCACACATGGTGAACTCCCCCAACCATTGATTCATGAAACCTAAGCCATCGGCTCCCCTACGTGGCATTTTCACCAGATAGTACGATGATCCTTGCAGCAACAAAGGAAGATTGTGGTAAAGTGACGCTCTGGAACACTGCCTCTGGGTCCTTGCGTGCCCGGCTTGAAGGCACGCTGTCCGTCGCAGATTGGTTCCCTTATCTCGGGGAAACGTTCATATGGAGCAGTGTCTTGGACTACATGCCGCATTGCTTCGGCTGCCAGTCCTCGTCAATCATGTTCTTGCCGGACAGTCGATACTTGCTCACGGGGACTATTACCAGGGCCAGAAACTCCCAAGAGCATCCTGCCTGTCTGTGGGATGCCGCGACGGGCAAATTGGTTCGCAAGTTTTTTGAACATAGTGACCACATTCACTGCATCGCCTTCTCCCTCGACAGGAGACGCATCTTGACAGGCTTCGATGACAGGACTACCATTGTTTAGGACTTCAAAAGCGGAGTGTCTCTGGCGACCATGAGAGGGCACATAGCGGGGGTGCACTCAGTCGCTTTCTCTTTGAGTGGTGAACACATCGCATCAGGAGGAGCTGATCATCGTGTTCTGGTGTGGAGCTCAGAGGAAGGAGAACTGCTCCAGTCGCTCGAGGGGCATATGGGCACAGTACAGTCGGTCGCCTTCACCCCGAGTGGAGACGTCATAATCTCCTCATCAGACAACAAGACCATGCGACTTTGGAACGTCAAGACGAGAACTTGTCTCCTGGCACTAGACGCATTCACACAGTTCAGTTACAAATGCTTCACTGCATATGGAGCAAGTCAATATGACAATGTTACAACTAGCATGAGTTATCCAAATGCTGGCCAGATGTTTAATTTGTAAGCCTGGCCAGCATTTATATATATATCTGTTAGCTAGGCTAATGCCTATGTAAATGAGCTGGTTCTGATAGGCATTTAAATATGTATTTTAGCCAGGCCAATATTTGTATACACTTGCTAAGCTTAGTTAGCATTTACATACATGTATTAGCTTGAAAGTGTATATATCAAACTAATTGGCATTTAAATGTTTAGCCAGCATATACATGTATCTGACCAGTAGCTCACATGCACCTATTGACCTGGCCAACATTTGAAATATATTTGTCAGTCTGGCCAGAGTTTATGTACATTCATTGACTTGGCCAGAGTTTATATACATTTATTGGCTGGGCCAG